ATTAATAATAGCATTAAAAGAACCATAATAGTAATTCGTCGTAATAATATAAAAGTTCGGCCATCGGATATCCCTATAAATTAAACACTATACTTTAGTTCTCATGTCTGGGATTTACAGTCGATGAGCAACTGATTCATTAAAAGCCACTTCTCTGAGTGAAGGATAAAGCCAATAAAATTTTTCGAAGCGTCTGTTCTCTCAGGGGATATAAGCCAAACGTCAGTTTAAAAACTACCTATGTCTACGACTAATAAATCCCATTTAATATAGTGCCACTCCAGTTTTAAACAGTCTCAGTAGGGATACGTAAGCCAGCTGCAGATTCTCTTAAGTAAGTCTTTTAACTTCTCCTTGAGAATCGTAATCAGCGTATCGTGGTTTAGCACAGGAACTCAGTTCTTCGTAAAGAACTCACCAGCCGGCGTTTCAACAAGAACTGAATTTTTCATACTACAGTCAGAATTACACAAGCATCGTATACTGTGCTTTTAAATTAAATATGACAGTCACGATTCTGAATCAAACTTATTCATAATCATATCATCATATGATTATGCTAGTCATATATTAGCTTATTGCGATCATCTGAGCCATATACATCTAAAAGCGACAAAAGCATATATTCTACAATAAAGGGTAGTATTGATTACAGCTTTGTCGGCAGTGCCTTAATATGGTAAAAACTCAACAAGATTTACAGGGAATAATAGATAGTAAATACCCAAGTAAAGTATTCAGCCCCCGTACTTGATTCTAATGAATGATTTCGATGGGAATTTCTGGATTGAGATAGAACACGGAATTTCTAAAACGAGATAAGACAGCATTCAACACTCGGTATGAGGGCTATTTATTTAGCGCTCCTCGACTTCCAGAAGCTATGAAATTTAGTCTTATAATATATTGATAATTGCGTATAGTTAGAGAGAATAGTTTTATTCGTATTAGTGTTACTAGGTATATTAAAACCATGTATAAACTGAATATATAGACAAAATGCATGAACTGCCTGTGAAGACTTGTCGAACATTCAATAACTGAACGCAAATTCACAAATTACCTGTCCAAAAATGTCAGTATTTAAGTATAATATGGTGATCATAGTGTAGAAATAATATAAACTAAGTGTAATCACACTCTAACCTTTAAGTTCATATCATGTGCATCTGAACCAGTTGTATGAATGGTTGTCTACATAATCTATATTCAGAATCTTAAATTATCCAATGGCATGTACACAAATGTTTAATCTGGTCAACTCTGCCAATGGTGTAATTTGAATCATGTAGCAGCTACGTAACCATTAAATATGAATGCTGCAGCATAAATGTTTAAACAAAGGCGTAGATCCGGATATAAAATGGAGCACTACAAGCTCTACCAGTGGCAGAGCTTGTGGTGTCGGTGGCCCCAAACAGCAACTGCAGCACAGGAATGATACCATGGGCATTGTTAATATGGATAGCTAGTATAAGGGGCCTTTACCTATTTACTGAGGGTAAAAATTAGGTGGCTGTTGAACTTATACTTAGCTTATCCTTATCTAGGTATATTAAAATTCTAAGCAATATTTTCAGTTTATGCGATGCTCGCACTTTTCTTCGATGATATTTCATTAGATTTAAATTTATTTGTTGCTTTTTGTATTTCGAATGTTTGAAACCCAATGTTTACAAACCAAATCTAGGGAAAAAAAGTTGACTTCAAGTTGAGCCACTCTTTTTAAATCCGCTTAGATATGGAATCCTGAAATACTTTTTAAAATATAATTAGAGACAAAGCATTATTTAAAATTTTAAAAATTAAAAAATAATAAAAATAAACTTTCCAGTCATACGATTTCAAATTACTGAAAGCAACTGCGAATGAAGTCTTTCAGCTTTGCAGTCAGCAGTGCAATAATTGTTTGGAGTCATCATTGCAATAATTTATTATGGGTTATTTATTTGAAGATCTGCGTGTAAGCTACCGTTTTTAAACTAAAAATGCTGAATTTTTTAAAAGTGTGCTTATTCGCCAAAAATTGCAACCCTTTGGAAGCCTCCTAAGTCTCGGAGGATACCAAAGAATAAGCGCCTACTGTCATCGTGATTAAATTCCCGCATCTTCTCCAATTTCACGTCCCACGCCGTACCCAGAGACCATTCTTTAGCATTACCCTCCCCCTTCTACAAAGACCAAGCTTCCCTTCCCCCCTCAGGTAGGGGGATGGCAGAACAAGGGGACGAAAACAAGACTTTTAGAAGTCGGCTGCATTAGAGGATTAATGCCAATGTAATTGAAATCATCATAATTGATGCGAACAAGGCACAGCGTTCAAGTCGCTCTATTTAAAAGGACTTGGTTGTGCGAACTGCCGTTGTTAATATATTTTGCAAAGACTTAATAGTCACGCCGTGTTAGCGTGATTGACAATGAGTATATTATGCACGATTATTTTTGATTAATGAATGTAATTTAGTTATACAGGCTGAATTAACTTAGTCTTATTAAGCTAACAAATGGAGGTAACACAAAGCTTTAAGTTCTTTAACAAAAATCGGGCTTTTTGCATCTTAATCCTTTCCTTTTAAAACAGTTACTGAGCTTTGCTATTACCTAAACCTCTAGTAACATAATGCAAAATATTCCATTAGATTAGTATTAATTTATTATTTTCTAAAAGCTTTTAAGAAGTGAAATTTCTAATTATTTTCATTTACGAGAACACCTTTTGGGGATTACTAGACTGAAGAAATCAAAATTCATACAAAAGGATTTCCATCTTCTGATAATCGTCGGAGTAGTGCAATTATATTTTTTAATAACGAAAATACTCTTAATAGGATCTCCTTACGTACATTCCTCTTTACTCAGACGCTGAAGTGCTGTCATAACTGTAGCCTACTCTAATCACTCAAATAGAAATAAAATCAGTATTTTCTCTAGTGGAAGGATGGATTGTAAGTTTAAACTATCGAATTGTTTAACTTCTAAAAAAACATGTAATTTTATCATTCCGGTTTCCTAGCAAGCAATTTAATGCAACAACGAAATGTGTATCGGTCTGATGATACTTGGTTACATAGTACGTAAAAGTTTAATAATTTATTCAAAACAGGAAGATACGTATTTACTTTTGCTACATCTGATTCTCTCTCCTTTTTTTTCGGGGGGGGAGAGGTCTGTTTTGTCATTATTTGAACTTTGTCATAAAGATATAATTTTTCTTTGTTTCTTAGATTTTATGTGTTATTTTTACTATCATTGTATACGTGATTTTTAAAATCCATTAATTAAGTAATTCAAATCACATCGCTGCTCTACACTTTAATAATTATTTAATTATTTCAAAATAAAAATGTAACTAAAAAAATCTGAAAGCTTTCAGATTTCCCATTACGCCATAAAGAGCGTTTTTTTTTTTTTTTTTTTTTTTTAACGTTTTCTGTCTGTGTTATCTTTATTTTATTAAATCATGTTTTTCGCACTTAAACCATAAATTTCAAAAGCAATATCGCAAAATTTTCAAATAAGCATATATTTAGAATTTCCGATACATAGTCTCGCGCGCTAGAGATAATTTTTTTTTCGTACAGTGTTGCCATTGCTCGCTTTGAAATCGTTGAGTTTCTTAATCAAAAACTCATAAATGCTATACAAAATATGAAATAGATAATAAAACAAATTCCAGTTTTTGGGCTTCCAGATGCCCATATTCGGTTGGAGACGTACGTTATTCAAAATTTGATGGCTTTAGGTACCGTTGTTTTATCACAATGCGAGAAATATACATACATTTATGCAGATTCTTCGTTATTTAATTTCTTCAAATATAATATAGGACTCTAATATTTGCTGGAACAAGTTTAAACAGTGATTCGCCGTTTATAGTAAACCAACACAAAATACCAAAACGAAATTAATAACTCATCTAGACAAATTGCCCAATTTATGCTGACACCTGTAATATAAATATCAAAAAAGGAAACTGGTCCACCAGCGGTCGAGCGGTCAAATCGCTGAACACTTGTAGTTCGGTCCGAGGTTCGAATTTCACAAACAGGCTGAATGCATGAGAGTTTTCGTAGTTTTCGCTATGTGTAACGTGTATACGAGTTAATTTTCTTTTAGAAAATCCTCCCCTTAGACAGACAGCCCTCAAGGCTTTGCCGTAATCACCTAAAATTAACCAAAAAACAAACAAATAGATAGACAAAGGAAACGTAAAACATTCTTTTAAAAAATAGCAATAACTCATTACGAGAAGTTACTATAATATATATAATAGTTTTCATAAAAAAAAATCAACGTTTTATTTGCTTGCGACTTTTGTTCGCAACTATTTTGAAATTCATATTACAAACTGAAACTTAATTGGCAATATATTCTATAAAACATTTCGAGTTCTTCGTAAGATGAGAATTTTAAGATGTGCAAAGCAATTTAAAATGAGCAACCTGGTGATTAATGCACACTGAATGTAAAGAATCTTACTCAGATCTATCTTACTATGTTAAAATATTTACTTGACAATATTCAAGTATTAATAAATTAGGCAGTGGTTCTCAATCTCTTTTGCTCCATGCACCTTTTTCGCAGCTGCTAGACAATCATCCCCCCTCCTTTCCCAGACTCGAAAAATACATATACATTTATTTAAACATAGGTTATTTGTTTTATTTGCTTATGGCAAAATACTCGAGGGCTATCTGCATAAGGGGAGTGACGCCTTTCTGGAAGATATTCTAAGCAAAATTGATTTACGTATGTAGAAAGCCCCGAAAACTTCCATGCAGCCAGTCCGTTCGCCGCATTTGAAACCCAGATTGAATTACCAATATTTAGTGACTTTACCGCTCAGAGGTTGGTTTGAATAGATTAATTTTTAACGTATTTTATAAATCAAACAAACAAAAAAGTTATAGAAAATGTTAATAAATATCAACCTGAATAAAACTAGTTTTTTATATTCATAAACTAAAACTAAATACTTAACAGATAAATAAAAGGCTTACTGCATTCATCCGCCTGAAACTGTGAAATTCATCCCAGGAGGGAATTCTCCTCTGGTTCAGAACTCCTGTTTTAGAAACTTTGTGATGCTCCATTTGTTTATTATAATACCTGCGTGAAAACGAGAATTTTAATTTTTCCCATTCATTTGCTTCAGACAAATGGAAAGAGATAAATCTTGAAAATTAGGATATTTTATAATCTCCTTTGTAATCAATAGATTAAGATAAAAATTTAGGTATTCCTTTCAATACTATTTGAAGTGAAAAGGAAAATTTTCAGGTTTTTTCTTTACTCTTAAAAAGCACTGCGAGCCCACCAGCGGCCGAGCGGTAAAGACGCTGAACACTGGTAGTTCGGTCTGAGGTTCGAATCCCGCGAACGGGCTGGCTGCATGAGCGTTTTCGTGATTTTCCCCATGTGTAACGTGTATACGAGCCAGTTTCCCTTAGAAAGTACTCCACGAAGGTATCCCTCCCTTTAGGCAGATAGCCCTTGTGTGCTTTGCCATAATTGAATAATCCCAATCCCAATCCCTTAAAAAGCACTGAAAGTTTCTTTCACGACAGAAAATAAAGGACTACAGAATTTTAGTTCCATACTCATTCTGTTCAATAATAAAATGCTTTATTTTCGTAATCATGCGGGAAATAGTGTGTTTCCTCTCATGCATGTTATAAGAATAACCTCTCAGTAAGTCGACCACGCAGGTATACCTACTCTTTGAACGTAGTTCTCGAGAGTTATGCAATAGCTGAATAACTATCAGAAATTAGTTCTGAATTCTATAAACAAATATGTGGCACAGAGCCGTTTACTCAAGTTATTGCTTGTAATTAAACTTCTTAAATAGTTAGATCCTAATGATAAATCCTAATGTTAAATAGATCCTATTGTTATGGATATAAAGTAATCTTGTGGTTAAAATGTTTTAATAGAATTGTTTCAATAATACACGTACATACCTGCACAATGTTTATACCCCAAAATTAATTAAATTTAGTAAAACATGCAGTACCTTTTAACTTAATACAGTAATAACAATATCTGCTTTAAAGAAGATTTTTCATCAAAATGAAATATAGAAATAAGATACAGTCGGATAACTTTGTAAAATTGTTCAGATAGAAATCAAGAAACGGTGTCTTTATAGTAGGCTTGAATATGTGAGGTTTATTTAATTTACATGACAGTTATTTTATGTCTGGAAGCTTTACTATCTCTTCTCTCTTTCTATTTTCCCGCAGAATGCATATTATCTCATGTGTATGACTCCAGCAACAAAAGGAGGAAAACGGATCTCTAAGTGTAAAAGAATCTGCCGAGCGGGGTATACTGATTAAAATGAAAGGATTTCTAAATCTTGAATTTAGATCTTTCTAAATCTTGAATCTACTATAATTCCTGGAACACCTACTGAGTAGACGACTGTTCCTTCCTACAACGAATAAACCCATGCTGAGTTCCCGGCACTACTTTCACCACTTCCCGAATCCGATGATGAAAAGGTAAGCGCCGAATCTATAACATACTGAAGATGATGCAACGCGCTCCAATAGTAAACGACCAAGAAGCCTGACGCCTGAGTACAACGTTTCTGTATCAAATTCGTATGAAAGCACTCTGCCAGATGAAGAAGTTAAAGCAAAAAATCCGAAAAAAGATAACTGTATTTACGTGGTCATAAAAGTGGAAAACTGCACTTGGCTCGAGAGATTGCTGCCCCCCCTCCGTTCTTGTCGAACAAACGAATGATGCTCTCCCCAGATGATTTCAATGAAGATGCAATGTTAATGAGAGTGTTTTGTTTCATATTCTCCAACGGATATAAATCTGGAAAATGGTATTGCAGATAATACAGAATTTCGACATCCGAAACGAACAGCCAGAGTACCTCCTATTGCAGTACGGGACTCCGCGTATAAGTGGAAGGACTTCGTAAAATGATCAAAGACTCCAATATTACGAACTTTTAACGAAATAAAATGTCTGACACGCACTTTAAAATGTCTATGAGAAACACTTAGAGTCACAAAGTGGTGACTGCCCGTTTTTACTCTAAGGACGTTAAATATCATTCCTTTATCTTGTCTGAAGAACGTAACCTTAAAGTAATTTACTTACCACAGATACCAAAACAGAGAATATCCAACAAGAAATAATTTTCTTAGAGTACCATACGTTGAAGACTGAGCAGCTGAATCGAAGAAGAAAGTGAGAACGTAAAGCTACCATTATTCCAGGTTGCTCTTCTCAAAAGTGACAGAGCGAAAACTATCTACAGTCTCAGATTCCTGCAATACCTCGAAGTGAAAAATGAGGCATACCGTAATCGCGGTGGCTCCCTGCAGTGCTACCATTGCCAATCCTTCTACCATACTCAAACTGCGTACAAACACGCCTCAGGTGTATAAAATGTACTGGAGCTCATTTCTCCAGGCGTTGCTCCAAGAAAAAGGAGAACAAACCACTCTATGCCAACTGCCATCAAGAACACACTGAAAATTATTGTGGTTGTAGTAGCAATCATAATTAATAAAAGATCAGGTTTATATTAGAGGACTTCCTGTTCTCTTGAGAAAGAACCACGGGGTCCGCCGAAATGGCCGGAAAGTGATCAAGGGAAACACTCGTTAAGAACCGCCCCCTTGCTCAGTTTCCTTGCAACGAAAACGAAAAGGTAAAGAAAGTGGTTTTGTCTGAAAATGCCGTGGTAGTAAGTCGCATCACACAACGGGAAAGCTGTGTCTTTCCTTTCTGTAATTGTGCTTATGTTTTACTTTTTATTTAACCAAGAAAACTTTGTTTAAGTTTTAAAATAAATATTAAAAAGACACTGGACTGATTACTTTCCCTCTCGGAAGATTGCTTACGTTACAGTTGTGGACAATTTCCTAAACTCACTAACTTTGACAAACCCAGTTGTTCACTTCCACGCCTATCGAATTAATTTCTACCTTTTCGTTGCCCTGCGTTGGCAACACGCTTTTGAGATTTGTCGTTTGTAGAATTCGGTCGCTAAAAGCGTAGCTGGCCTGTAACTGTTGTAATTCTTATTTTAAAGCTTATCTGAACTCCTGAATTATTACTAAATGTTTACGTATGAATGTTATATTATTAAATGTATTCAGTTTGATTTAAATAGACTAAGAGTCGTTGAATTTATTAATATATTTAAGGCCGAAACTGCGTCATCCATGTCTGCGCCATTCTAACGCAGGAATGTAAACAAATTTCTGGAGGCACGGCGGCGAGATAGAGAATTCGTCAGCAGTTCAAGTACAGATAAGTGCTTTTTATTTCGATTTACATCTGAATTTGATTCTTGAAGTTTTATATCTATCTTGTATTGATTTTGATTTTGAACTTGAATACTTCAATTACTTATTATGGATCAAGCTACTGTCATTAGATTGCGTGGTAGGGCAAAAGCGGCCTTCACAAGGCTTCAGAATACTATTTCTTCCGATTTATCTAAAAATGAAATAATTTCGCATCTGGAGCGCTTGGAAAGGATTTATTTAGATTTTGATAAATTTGAGGCCCAATTACCAGAAGAACAGTCAGAAATTGAAGATTTTGAACCGAAGTATTTTAGTTTGAAACTTCAGTATCAAAATATATTAGATGTATTGAATGTGGCTAGTGTGCCAAATGTTTCAGGAAATTCTAATATTAGTAACTTTAAGTTACCTAAGTTGAATATTCCTATTTTTTCGGGTAACTTTAATGACTGGATGAATTTTAAAGATTTGTTTGTTGCAACAGTGCATAATACTTCTTTATCGAATATACAGAAATTTCAGTATTTAATCGGTTCACTTGCTGATGAACCAACTTCTATAATTAAACATATTCCGTTATCAAATAATTCTTATGAAGAAGCATGGGCAAAACTGCTCGCTAGGTAGATAAAAGAAGCAAATCGTACAATCGTTAAGTTAAAACATTTCTGGATCAAAAATGTATTTAACAGGTTGATAATGTTAATTTACGACAATTAAGCTGATACTTCCGATGAAGTTATCAGAGGTTTGAAAGCTCTTGATGACAAAGCAACTTCTAGGGATCCATGGTTAATATTTATGTTGCTTCAAAAGGTAGATTCAGAAACTCGAAAGTTATAGGCACAGAAAAGCAGCGGAAGATGATTTTCCTACACTGGAATCATTTTTGATTTTTTTAAATTTAAGGTGTTCTCTCAAAATTATCATAAATAAGAAGCAGAAGCTAACGTCGTTCATAAAAATAGTAATGTTAGTTCTAAACGTTACAGAATTCTAAATTTAGTAATACTAAATGTTCGAAATGTAACGGACTTCATGCGTTATATAAATGCGTTAAATTTACTTTAAATTAAATTAAAAATTTGGATGTTACTGCTAGAAAGAACTTTGTAAGAAAAACGAGGATTGTGTTTTTTATGTTTAAATTCACATCTAATCAAAAACTGTAATTCACACAGTTAAAGTGTAATTTGTGTAATTCAAAAACGCACATAATAGTTTGTTGCATGAAGATATTAAAGCTAACAACGTAACAGCTTTTAACAGCGCCAAATGAAAACGAAAGCACTCCAGAGAGAATTTCGAATGAATCATGCGAGGGTCAAGGTCAGGTAGTTGTCAGTAATACGATTCAAAATTGCAACTCGACGATTTTGCCTACAGTTCTCGCACTCGCATTTTCGTCCAGTGGCGAAACTATCGAAATTAAATTATTACTGGATTCCGGAATGTGAAAGTTTCGTTTATTTCTGAACGAGCTGTTCGAAGATTAGGGATTAAAAAGAATGTATCAAAGGTTACTTTTGCGTGCAATTGGCGGAGTGACAGCTTCCAAGACTCGTGCGTTCTGTTGATTAGTATAAAATTAATGGTCAAGGTTAAATAATGGAAATAATTGATGTTAACGCATACATTTTGGATAAGTTAACTTTGCCATTGCCGGAACAAGTCATTAATGTAAAGCATATAGAAACACATTAAATTTATTCCGTTAGCAGATCCGAATTTTGCTCAACCCAAAGAAATTGATTGATTTTAGGAGCTGATTTTTTTCTCCGTTTTAAGATGCGGCCAAATATATGGTTCGAAAATG